ATCCACCTGGGATGTTTTTATACTGAATTGGGCCTCCTCCTTCATTCATCAGAGACTTTGGTGCGCACCTGCTGCTTTCTTTCTTTCTTTTATTAAATGTGTAACTGAACTTTATAAATAATTTTAATCTCCCTTATTTTGATAAAGTCATTCAGGCACATAGTGAATACAATACACAGAGGTATCTAGTGAAAAATAATCTCTCTCCACTCCCTACAGGTCTCCTTCCAAGGCGGCCACCTGTCCCCATGTAGAGCCCTGCTGTGCTTTTGTGTTCATGTGGGAGTCTTTTGAGGATGCACAAGCACCGATGTACAGTCACATCCTTACAGGTCCCTTAATGTGCTGGATACCTGTTGCTTTTACAATGTGGCACCAAAGCTTGGCAATTTCAGTTCACGGGGAGGTGCCCTTTGGATCCTTCCTGTTTTGCAGTCCTAGGGAACATGCCAGGGCCTCCCACATCCTGGCCCTTTTTAATTTTTTCTTGGAGACAGGGTCTCACTAAGTTGTGGAGGCTGGTCTTGAACTTGCCATGCTCCTGCCTCAGCCTCCTGAGTCACTGGGGATAACAGGTGTGGGTCATGGCACCTGGCTGCCTGTTTTTCTAAAGGGCTGGAGCATTCCATTGTGTCTGAGGACTGGCTCTTTGTGGACACATAAGTTGTCCAGTTCTGGGCACAACACACGGTGGCTGAGTAGGATCCTCTTGTTCCTGCTCTGCTCCAGGAGAGGTCTGTGGAGCCAGGCAGTGTGGAGAAAGTGAGTTTTCCCATCAAACAGTGGAGCGGACCCTTCTGGGAAAGCCGTTTTCCCTGGGGGATGGTCCCTATTTTGGGAGCCTATCCCGGGTTCTGTCTTTTAGCTTTCTCACTAGCTGACTCCTGTGCCTTGGGGGCAACCCTTTGGGCTTTCTGGGCCTCCACTTGGTGTCTGTGGGATGCTCCCCCAGACCCTGGGCTCTTCACCCTCAGGACACCTGTGGTTAGCATTGAATTTCCTCTGCCAAACATTGGTTCAGAACTTTCTGGAAGCCTGGTGGTGAGGCAGGAGTGTCCACTCATTGTCAGGCCTTGTGCACTTGCTAGAGGCTGCCTGCCCTCCCAAACCAAAGGGAGCCACTTGGAGGCCTTGCATTCATTGGTGTTGGACCCTGAAAGCGGGAGAAGTGGTGCAGGGTGGTGTGTGTGCTGAGACTTGCCCAGTGGTGAGCTGTAGGAGGAACATCTTTGGGGATCGTCATCTTCCTGTATCTCACATCCCATCAGCCCCAGTACATGGGGTGCATTCTCCACTCTCCTGTGTCTGTAGCTTTTGCTCTTCAGGATGCCAGCTGTCCCAAGCTGTGCCACTATTGTCCATAACCCAGGAGGCCACCTTGGGGCATGGGACGGACTCTCGTCCTTGCAGGTGAAGACTGAATGAATGGTGGTTGAAGGATTCTGACTGGGAGGGAGGCTGGAAATGAGAGGGGTCTGGTAAGAGGGGGGCTGGTACTTTTCAGGTGAGAATCAATAAGAATGTAATTTGTATTGATTTCTTGGGAGGAAGGTCTCAGAGTGCCCATTGCTGACAGCCGGGAGAACTTTCCGGTGGGCAGGGTCATTCTTTTTACCCATTCTCTTTTGTCAGCTGTGAGCATACACAGGAGTGCTCCTTTTCTGCACAGAGCAAGGTGCTGTCGTTGCCCTGGTGTGTGGCCTTGGTGACCTGCCTTTCATCGTTTCCTGGTTGGCCATCGTTGTGGATGTGGAAAAGAAGTTCTTGGGCATGCAAACAGTAGCAGGTGCCTATGTGACGCCTCCTAGGAGCTTGGTTGTGGCCTTGTCAACAGGGACACAGTCCAGAATGGTGATGAGTGTGCAAGGTGGAGGCTCATTCTCACCCCAACGTAAGATTGTTGCTCAACTTTATCTGGTGTCATCACAGCCTGTGGGCCCTGAACTTTTTTTGTTTTGGCAACCAACCAAGATTTCATAAAAATGTCACAGAGGAGTAGAGTGTGGTGATTCATGCCTGTAATCCCAGCTCATTGGGAGGCTGAGGCAGGAGGATCACAAAGTCAAGGTCAGCCTGGGAAGACCCTGTCTCAAGATAAAATTTTAAAAAAGGGATGGGGATGTAGCTCAATGGCAGAGTGCTCCTGGGTTAAATCCATAGTACCCCCTCCAAAAAAAAGTCATGCACATCTTTGACCTTGGACAATAAAAAGGGGGGCAAGTATATTCTAGGAGGAGGAGTATACTTGCAAATGACCTTGACTTTGGGGAAAAATGTACCACATCACATTCACCCTCCTGTGGGACCCTGGCTACCCTGGTGCTTTAAAATGTGTAGTCCTGTGTGTTTCTTTCAGATCCTGACTCTGCAGACAGAACAGCCCAGAAAAGAAAGTTCCCCCAGCCCTCCACATTCTTCCAATGGCCACTCGCTGCAGGACACCTCTACAGGACCCATTAAAAAGAAAAAGAAGCCCGGTTTACTGAGCAGCAACTGCAAGGAGCAGGTAATGCTGGGGCTGGGTGCAGCATGGCAGCAGGCCACCAGCGGGCAGCAGTGCTCTGTTCCTCAGAGCCGGGCTTGGCATCTGTTTAGCAGGCTGCCCTGGCACTGCTTATTATTTGCATGTGTAGAAAGGCAGCTCAGAGGGGCCTGTGTGAGGTTTCCAGCGGGTTCTCAGATCTGCTTGGGGACAGAGCAGTGACCCACAGGAGATGAGGATATTTTTCTTGAGGGGCTGGGGCTTCTCCTTGGCTTCATGTTTCTGTACTCTTAGGACTGGTTTTCCCGGTGGCCTGAGGATTTCCCCTGATGACCAGTGCTGGGCGACACAGCTCCCTGGTGGTCTCGTTTTCTCATCTGTAAAATGAAGGGTGTGGGCCCCTGATAGAGGTATAGCCCAAGGGTCACCTTCCCTTCTCCTGAGCATAGGCTCCCCGTACCCTTGGCTGACAGGATTGTCAGAGGCTTGGGAAAACCTCTTCACTATCCTGGGTCTCATCTAGGGAACCTTCTGGCTTTAAAATTCTCTGGTGCAGCTTAGACATTCCAAATAGGGAACGTGAGAGCAATGTGGACTCACTGGTGGAAATGTTCACCCCTGTGTGGACTGCAAGGTCAGGGGGCCTTGAGTGGTTCTTGAGCAGCGGTTCCTGGTGACCAGCTCATCTGTTCTGTGCACTATCGGGCACTGGAGTGGGACCTGGAAATGGAAGGTTGAATTAGATGAGATTGTTGCTTTCACGGGAAGAGTCCTAGCCACATTAAGTGCCCGAGCCTGGGAGAGGCATGTGTCCAGAACAATCTATTTTCATTCTCAAAATTATAGAGTGAATTGCCAGCTCTGCCCTTGGCCCTGTGACTGTAGGCACATGGACCTCCGTGGGTCTGGTTTCCTTGTTCATGGAATTGGGCATCCTGGCGCTGCTGCTCAGGCTCTGGGGCTGTCATGGCAACTGACGGAGATAAAGGACAGGGAAAGAGCAGAAATGAAGAGCACAGCCGGGATTCATTGCCAGAGTATGATTTGACATTCGACCTGGGAGGCAGGCTGTTTCTGTGGCAGTGTCCTAGACCCCGATGTCTGGTGTCGACCCAGTCACGTGTGGCTCATGAGCCCTCAAAATCAACCAATGTCAGGGAGAAACTTGGATTTTTTCATTCTGTTTAAAGTGACGTGGCTGCCTGTGGCTGGCAGCTGCCTCGTCAGTTAGGAATCCCATTGGAGGAGGAGCAACTGGGGGGTCCCACGTGTGTTTTCAGGGGCACTTGGAAAAACTACTTGAGGAAATAAGAAGCATTGATGATGATACCAAAGCAGCATTTGCCCCATGTCACCTGCCGTTGCAAACATTTATGTCAGTCTGAATGTTTTGCCAGGAAGGGCCATGTGCATCACCATTTTACAGTTGAAAACTGTAAACTCCTTCTGTCCCAGAAGCTAGTGAGGACTTGCTGCAGTAACCCTGGAGCCACCTCAGAGCTATCAGAAAGAAAATGGTGGTCAGATAACCCTCAGCCCTTAATTAAACTACCAGTTTGGCTTCCTGAGCCAACACTCCCTTTCCAGTTCCCAGGGAGTCCTGAGAGCAGATGTCCTTCCTGACCAGAAGCTGTCCTTTCCTGTCTCCTCCCTCTGCCCATGCACACCCATGCACACCCATGCACACTCACTGTGGGAGTCCCTACTGTTCTCTAAGGATTGCTCACAGTTCTTTCTCTGGAAGCTAATCCACTCGGGTATTTGCTGCTTTGCTCTTACCCTGTGTGAAGACCATTTCTGTGGCACAGAAACCTCTTGACCAACTGATATGTCTGTAAGTTGGTGTCCCCTGCTTTGGACCAGCAGACTCAGATCCTGGCTCTACAGACAGAACAGCCTGAGTGAGGGTTCAGGGCTAAGTCGCCACAGGGTGGAAACTTGTGGATGCAGAAGGCACTCGGCCATGGACACAGCAAGGCCAGCACCGGGGACACAGGGCTGAGCACACTTTCTGTCCTCTCCAGTATCCACAGATAGGGGAGGTGCTCCTCTTGGACACAGGATTCTTCCAGTTCATGGAATCTGGGGGACTCACCGGGTGGCCACATCAGTGGCTTTCTCTTTGAGCTTCAGTTTATGTCCTAAAATAGGGTTTTGGACTAAAACATCCTAAGGTCCATTGCACATTTGCATTTCTGATCCAAAACTCCAAGGCACAAAGGCCCAGAGACTTTTGTTAGCAAAGATGGAGTGACCTTCACTGAAACCAGAAGATGTCCCTGAACTTTGACCCTGTCATTCCTAACAGCATTTGTTTTTAAATGCTGGCAGAGTAGGGCCAATATTCTTCATGTGCAATCTCTGTTTTCCTCATAGGGAACTTATAAGAAATGATACTGGATACCTACTTTCTTTAAATTTTTTTTTAGAAGTACTTAGACACAATACCATTATTTCATTTACTTATTTTTATGTGGTCCCAGGGCCTTGCAATGCTAGACGAGAGCTCTACCGCTGAGCCCCAGCCCCAGCCCCTAGATACCTACTTTTCCTTTCCCTCCCCTTCCCCATATGTTGGTTTGACCAATATGTCATGATTTCTGTCAGTCACCAACCTCTGAGGATCATGAGATTTCAAATAAAAGCTTGCATTTCTGGGTTCTTATAAACACAAATTGTCTTAGCTGTTTGATTGGCTGTGACAAAACACCATGGGCTGGGTGACCTACCAACAGCAGAAATTTCTGGACGCTGGAAGTCCAAGATCACAGTTGTGTTCTGTGATAGAGGTGTGATAGAGGGTGTCCTGTGGTAGAGGGTGAGGGCCTCTCTGGTATCCTCCTGGATAAGGCCCATTCATCAGTGCTCAGAGGCCCTGCCTTCTGGAAGATACCAACTTGGGACTTTTGAGGGAGACACAAAGATTTAGACTAGAGCACTTAGCAGAATCCAGCAACCTCAGGGCTGAGTAGAATCTGCCCTGCAGACACTTGGCTGAGCTAGTGTCGGGCTGAGCTAATGTCAGCCTGCAGCGTACTCCCCATCCCTCCCTATAGGGTCACAAGCAGTCAGCTCTACTCAACCCTTCCATGTCTCGTGGGGGGGATTAATAGTTTTCTGACTTTTGACTTATGTCCCTTTCTCCCCCCACCTCCCTGGTTTTTTCTGTGCTCCAGTGTTCTGAAAGAAAGCCATTCTGGCCTTGTAAAAAAAAGAAAACCATGCATTTCCATTTTTGATGGAGACCTGTTATTATAAAGAGCTGAGCCAAGTTTAAGTGCAGGCACTTTTTTTTTTCTCTTTTTCACATATTGGGAGTTAAGGACTTTTAGAGGGAAGCTTTCTGTTTTTCTGTTTTTTTCTTTACTTTTTTCTTTCTTTGGTGGTACTTATCAGACCCAGGGCCTCCTGAAGGCTGAACATTTGCTCTGCTACTGAGCTGTATCCCCAGGGAGAAATTAAAAGAAAAATAAATTATTATTATATTTTTGGTATTGGGGATTGAATCCAGGGATGTTTAACTGAGCCACATCATCCCCAGCCATTTTTAATATTTTATTTAGAGACAGGGTCTCCATGAGTTTCTTAGGGCCTCGCTAAGTTGCTGAGGCTGGCTTTGAACTTGGGATCCTCCTGGTGGAGCACACTTGGCCCCAGGGTGAGAATTTAAGAAGACCTTTAAAATACTTTATATTGGGCTGGGGACATAGCTCAGTGGTAGAGCTATTGCCTGCCATATAGGTGGGTTCCCTGGGTTCCCTCCCCACTACCAAGAACTTGTGCTCTTAACCATGGGGATGACATTGGTGATGGTGGCACTGTGTTAATTCCATACATTCTATCCTCTCATTTGAACACAGCCCCATTATCCCGTGATGTTAGGTACCTCACCTTCATTTTACAGATGAGAAAAGTGAGGCCCAGAGGTGGGGAGACCCATCCCAGGTCATGCAGCTGTTTAGTGGTAGTTAAAATTTGTACCTACGTAGGCCAAGGCCACCTGGTGACTCTGAGACACTAGTGTTCAATCTGTGGCCTTTTAAAATGGGAGGGAGAAAGACCCTCATAGTTATCCAATGACCTGCTAATGTTGTGGACAGTAGAGGAACCACAGCTAGCTCGACTATTTAGCAGATGTGAAATGCTGTGATTTTCTTGTGTTGTCATTGATGTACTTGTTCAAATTCCTGTTGAGAATGCACATTTGTTTTGAAACCAAACCTGTCTTTCTTGCCTACATTTCAGTCATAACTAAGACATGGTCCGTTTTACTATATGAAGCAGCCACTCACCACAGACCCTGTTGATGTTATACCGCAGAATGGACGGATTGATTTATATTGCTGGGTTTGTCACTGGGAAGGCCAAGTTCTTTGCTGTGAGCTCTGTCCCTGGGTTTATCACGCTAAGTGTCTGATACTGCCATCAGAACCAGAGGGGGACTGGTTTTGTTCTGAATGTGAGGTTAGTTCCCAACGAATGAATACATTACCTGCTTTGTTGCCTCTCTCTTCTCTTCCTTTGACTTACAAAATTTATAATAATTTATAATAGATAAGGGGAAAAATATATTTCTTGCCTCCCACCCGTTCTGTCCTAGCCACCCCCCTTTTGGTCCAGCATCTGCCCCTGGCTGTGGTCCTGCAGCTCTTGGAGAAATGATCACATGGAATATTGTCTGGGTTCTTCTTGAGTCTTTGAATCACTTTGACATCTGCTACTACCTTTCTTCTTCTGGAATGCACGTCTTACACGATAACTTTTGAACCGTTAACAGTTCACATGGTCTGAAACACTCTTGCACAGCTTCTCTTGGGTGTGCCGTGCTGCATCATAAGGTCAGCAACCGCCGCCAACCTGGGATGCCCAATTTGGGCCCTGTGTTCTGGGTGGTGGCTGTGCCATCTGAGTCTTTCTTTCATACAACAAATATTTCTAACAGAGATGGGATAGTGCTCAGAAAAGTAGGCACAGATCACTTTCCTTTTAACAGAAAAGGACAGAAGTGAAAATGAAGTTAGAAATAATGAGTTTGAAGAAGGGTGCAAATTGAAGACGGGGAGTAGGGAGTTCAGGAGCCGCAGGGCATTCCATTTTAAATGTCCAGGCCTGGAAGGCCCCCCTGAGATTTGAGAAGTACCTGATGGAGTTGGGCCCTGCTGCCCTCTGGGGGAACCTTCTGGGCAAAGGTGTGGCCTGGGCAGAGCAGGGGGACAGTGAAGGCAGTGTAGACTTCATGGGTAGCCAAGAGCTGCTTGAAGCTAACCAGTCCCTGGACTTGCAGGATTCTGAGGCAGCATCTGTTATTGGCAACTCTGGACTAGGAGGCTCTTTCAAATGCTAAAAAAAAGAGAATCATCTGAAAGTAATTTGGTATAGAATGTCTCTTGGATCCCAAGGCAAATGGCCTCATATTGCACATGAAGATGCATCTGGGCAGCCCTGGAGGGGCTGCCCGGATGTTTTCTGTGGAAAAAAAAAAAAGTCACAGATAGTTTCCCTGCAGCTGCTTCTGTGCAGGGAAAGGAGGAAAATAGAAAATAGGTGAAAAGCAATCAGGCATCGAGTTGGTCTGGTGAAGACCCTGGGATGGCACTCTGCCTCCGAAATGGCTGGAAGGTTGCTGCTGGTTCCCTTGGTAACTCTTCCACGGAGACAGAAACGGGCTGGGTGTCGCCCACCCATGCCCGCCTGTGTTTGGAGCCAGATCTTGTTCTGCTACACCTAGAGCGAGACCTGGACCCTCCACCAGTGTTCTTTGGTCCTAAGCGACTGTTCTCATTTGTTTCATCCCATTGCAGAACAGGTAGTGGTCCTCTAAGAGGAAGACACTTCTGGAATCTCTTTGTCTAGCAAAAGGATTTTATCTTCATTCTCCAACTGATTTACCCTGGCCTCAGGGTGAGCTTACGTTCCTAAGTTCCTATGCAACAAAGGCTTCCTAAGGGCTTCGTGTAGCACTTCCAGGTGGTGCCAGCCAGGAGGTAGGAGCAGGGGGTGAGGGAGTGAGGGACAGTTGGGCATGTAACCCGAGTGTTCTCCTTGGGTGGAGCCCACTAACAAAGTGCAGTTCAAACAATCAGGACTTCTGCGTGCACGATCCACAGCCTGATTTTCTTCCAGGGTTGCCTGGTAAGGTAGGCTGCTGGCAAGACTAGCCCTTCAGGATCTGGTAGCCCAGGGATGAGATGCATGCATCACGAAGCCTCTCTAACTTCCTAGTGACTCTTGGATGGTCCTTCTCCTCAACAAACAACCAGACTCATGTGAGAGTTCCCAGAGAAGTGAAGACTGGAAACAGCCCAATTTACCCAAGAAAACTTATCCACGCTCCTTTCACAGAGGCTGAGAAACATTGCATGACTTAGGAGCAGGTGCTATTTTTGTTGTTGCTGGGACATGGGCCTTCTTAATCCCCAAGATATGATATCACAATCCCATTGCAGAATCCACTTTCCATCATTTCTCTCTCTCTCATCTTTGATGGGACTTTCCCATGTGAAATGACATCTCTTGCCTTTGTAGACACACAGGTAGATTCTGCCCTTTGGAGCTTGTGGTGTCTTCTTTAAGAGTCTGCATTCCTCTCTATCCTGAATCCCTGTGTCAGTTGGGAGGCTGGGAGGCTCAGATCTGCCACTATGTGGTGGTTTTCTTTGTCCCAGTCCCTTATTGGAGTACTAGAGATTAAACTCAACCACTGAGCCACAGCCCTGTCCTTTTATTTTATTTTTTAATTTTTGATACAGGGTCTTTTTAAATTGATGAGGGCCTTGCTACATTCTGGAGGCTAACCTCAAACTTGGATCCTCCTGTTTCAGCCTCCTCAGTCTCTGGGATCACAGGCCTGCACCCCAGCTCCCCACTGTATTTGTGTTCCTTATAAGGGATTAATTTTTCTGAATTTTTTTTAAATTTCAGAGAGAGTATTTCAGGAATTGAACAATGATTCATTTTCCTTTATTTCTACCCAGGTCACTTGCAAATGATTTGCAAGTGGACTTATTTTCTGAAGTAACTGGTCTTGACTGCCTGATGTAAACCTAGAGAACTCTCATTACTGGGTGACCTGACACTTGTCCTTAGCACAGTGATCAGCCCCAGAGTTCCTCTGATGCCTTGGATCTAGGGCCACAAGACACACCCCTGAGTCCCAGGCCCTGCTTTACCCCATTTCCTCCTCTGGGAGAGAAGCGGAATGGTAGTCATTACCCCTCAGAATTATTAGAAGGGTTCCACAAATTAATTAAGTGCTTCAAGCCACACCTGCAGATAGTAGAAACTGTGTAAGTATTTGATAGGGAAACAAAGTATATGCTAATGTTTACTTGAAGGGTTTGTTTGAGGAATTCCTGTGACGTCTTGTGGGGTTGAGAATCACCATTAGTCTCCTCTTGTCTCCATACTGGAGACCACACGGACACTGTCACATGTGGCTCTGTAGGCCTGAATGGTGGATTCCCTGTTTACAGATGACGTTTGGACTCAGAGAGGCCGTGTTTTGGGCCCAGAGACACACAGCTGGTGGGGGCCTTTCCAAGTCGGGGTTTACACCCCTGCCTGTCTGAGTGTGGGGGTGCAGCCATCCTGTGCTCAGCCGGAGTCAGTGATGCAGCCTGCGCCCCCCCGCCCCTCCCCCACAGCTGACCATAGCTGAGATGTGGCAGAGCCTGGAGTGGGATTAGGACCGGCTTATTGCCAAGGTGAAGAAGCAGCTGGAGCTGGAGAAGCAGCAGGCGGTGGACGAGACCAAGAAGAAGCAGTGGTGTGCCCACTGCAAGAAGGAGGCCATCTTCTACCAGCTACTGTGACTACCCCTGCCAGCAGGCCCACTGGCCCGAGCACGTGAAGTCCTGCACCCAGTCAGGTAGCACGCACCCCAGGAGGCAGGGCTGGGGCCTGGGCTCCTGGGGACCTTGCACTGAGGGCAGCCGGCTGACTAGTGTGGGTTTTGAGGGCAAGCGTGAGCGTGGCGCACAGACTGAGCTGATCATGGGATCCTGGCTGCCAACTAGTGTGCAGGGCTTTTGATCTTCTCTTAGGGTGGGGATGGTCCTCGGCATCCTCGGGGCACAGGGCAGCCCCAAGACCGTGAGTCAGCCCCCATGTCAGCAGTATTCTGGTCGATCCTGTTTTGGGGGTGAGAATAGACCCACAGCTCTAAATATCGGGGATTCTTACATGGAGGCCCAGGTGTAGGTGTGCGCCCTGTGTTGATGAGGCCATAGCAGCAGCTGTGATGCCCCTCCCCAGCTGGAGCAAGCCGGCTTCAGCCGAGAGCCCACAGCAGAGAGGACTGCCTCCTTGGGGTTTATCAATAACACTTTAAAAGTTAATCTTTAGAGCTAGCGTTTGTGGCAAAGGACTCTAGCTTTCTGGGATTGGAATTGAAAGTCTTGGGCTGAGGTGAGGCTTGTGGTAGAGCACCCTGAGTGCCATCCAGAGCACTTCCCGTACCCCCAAAAGTCTCCATTTAAAAGAATTCACTGAAAGTATTATATAAAAAACACAAGGTTGTATGTCTGTAGCAAAATTTGCAGAGCTGGCGTGTGAATAATTCAAACTTGAGAAACGGCAGTCCAAGGCTGACAGACCTGGGAAGGGCCCTAGTGAATATTTGAGGCTTTGTAGCCAGAATCCGGCTGTGTGCCAACAAGATGTCATTCATAAGAACCGGTTGCCGACTCACTTTCTGTTTCCAACCATGGGAGGTGTCTTCTCGCAGTCTTTAGAGTCCTGCTGCCGTGGCGTGGCACTCCACTGTTGTCTGGAGTGTGTGAGGTGCCCCATGCAGGCCCTGCAGCTTGGTCACACTGCCCTGAGGCTCTCTGAGTGTGGTGAAGCCTGGTTTTTATGAGTCACTCTTTATATGAGTCCAACACCCACTGTTCCCACCATCTTCAGAGGCTCTGTGCTCTCTGACCGGTCTTTCCCACCTGCCTCAGACAAAAACAAGTGTCCAGGGTTGTGGTGGACCTAAGCCTCTAAGTCATGGTGGGCTCTTGTGGACAGGTGTCATTAGCTCTGAGCACATGCTTTCCCTTCCAGAATGACTTATTGAATCACTGAGTATTAGAAAGCCAAGATGCTCTCACAGAACCTGACTTGGAGACCTTTGGGTGCCTGGCCCCCCTGGGTCTGCACCTGGACCCTGGGTGGGGCCTGGCCACTGGCACCATGGGGCATGGAGTGGGCTCCACTTGGGGCCTGAAACCATTGTGCTTGGCTTCCCATGGCTTCCCTCTCTCCCCTTTGTCCCCAGCCACTGCCCCTCAGCAGGAAGTGGACACCAAGGTGACCACAGACACTGAGAACAAGCCCTCCCAGGGGCGCTCCTCCAGTGCCCAGCCAGCCGCCTCGGACACAACCAGTGCCTCCAAAGAGAAGGAGCCATCAGCCGAGAAGAGCAAGGACAGCGGCTTGGTGAGGACCCCCTCTGTGCCTTGGCCAGTGCCACTTACCCTTTGTGTGTGTGTCCCACCCACCAAAGTCCCATGTTGTCTGGGTTTGTCTGGAACAGTCAGATGACAGGGGTCAAGGGCATGTCCCAGGGCTCTTTCTCACAAGTGAGCCCTGTGGACCAGCTAGAAGTCTGAGTTGGCCTGTGTAGGACCTGGGAGCTGCTCTCAGGACCCTGCCAGTTTAGTGCAGTGCGTCCAGGAGAACTCTGTGATGGGGAGAATCCCACCCACTGTGGCTGCCAGTAGCCCCTGCGGCTGTGGAATACTCAGGATGGTGAATGAGACCAAGCATCAGATTTTTAAATTTGATCTTAGTTCATTTAGATGCAAGTAGCCACATCTGACTGGTGCTGCCATATTGGACCATGAAGGTCACAAGTGCTCCTATTCTGTTGGGCTGTACACGTGACATCGATCTTAGAGGGCACACAGATCATCTTTTATGTTTGTAGTCATTGTGGACTTCGGACATCATAATCAGATTATCAGTCAAGACCCTGGTCTCAGGGTTGGTACTGCCTCACAAGAGGCTTCCAAAGTGAACGGATCCATTTCTCCTTCTGTGGTGAAGCAGACTGTGTGGGTGTTGGGTCGGTCAGCCAGTGGGTGCAGGCCACAGGGAAGGTTCTCAAGCTCAGACTGGAGTGCCAGGGAGGGGCCACCTGCATGCTGGAGGAGTCTGGGAGCCAGAGCACAGGTGTGTGCACACCTGTCCGACTCATCCCCTAGGACCACACCAGGTGGAGGGCACTGAGATGACCTGGGGGAGCAGTGAGCACTCCCAGGACTCCCTGGGTTTCCCTGGGGGGCTCCGTTGGACCCAGTGCCCTGAGTCCATCTTTCTTTGTATTTCTAGACCCTCGACCTTTCTGGCTCCAGAGAGATACCCTCCTCCATTCTCTTAGGCTCCAACCAAGGCTCTGGTATTTCGCCCCCTGGTGGGCTAATGGTGCTTTCATTTCATGTGGGCAGGTTGGGAACCATCTTGACAAGGAGCCCAGGGTTTAGGGCAGTGGTTTTCAAGCTGTTAGGGATCTTTGGGGTGCCTCAGCTGGGCGGGCTTGTGGGGTGAGGGTGTGGCTGGGTAAGGCAGTTACCCCACACTTCTCTGCACTGGTCAGAATTTACCTGTGTTTTTGTTTACCGGGGCCCACGTGACACTATTTGGACACAGGGTCCTGCCCTGGAAAATGCCAGGGTAAGCAGAGCCCCGTAAAGTAAGCTCCTGAGGGTCCTTAGACCTTCACATAGGTAAAGACAGTGTGGAGGTGGGCGGTGTTTCTGGACCATCCTTCCCTCTGGCACGCTTTTGGGGACTTTTCTGAGATGTGCAGATTTCTTTCCTGGGGTTCGGGCCGCCCTTATTTCTCAGCACCGCACTTTCCTAAACCAGTTCTGGCCACTGCACTTGGGTTCAGACCCAGGCCTTGCTTCTTGAGGACCGTCTTGCTGAATACAGGGTTCTTGCCTATAACCTTTCCTCCACGGTCTTTTTGCCTGCTGGTTCTCTTCAGTTGGAGACCAAAAACTTAATGTCACTTGTGCACACCGAGAGCTTAGAGGAAGCAGTATCTGTGGTCAGGTGGGGAAGGTTCCACAGAAGCCAGGCCTGGAAGGGCCAGTGGGAACTGGTTGGTGGAGATGGTGGAGTGGCAAGAGTAAGTCTAGGGAGGATGTGAACTTGGCCTTGGATTTGATTGAAGTGCCTGTCAAGAAAGCACCACCCTGGGGCTGGCATGTGTGAGGCCCTGGGTTCGAATCTCAGCACCGCGTATAAATAAAATAAAGGCCCATCAACAATTTAAAAAATATTTTTTAAAAAAGCACCACCCTTCATGCTTCCCTTGTTGTCCCCAGATGAAACCTCCAGTCATGGCACAGCGTGGCACTAAAATGCCATGGCATCTCAGTTCATTTCAGAACAGAGCCAAAGCGACTTCAGGTCTAGTGGCGTGATAGCCCCAGAACATTGCCCTGCAGTTTGGCTTTCATGATTGTAATTTGAGTTGCAATGAGAAAAGCTTCTTTTGGAATTGAAGTTGAAAAAAAAATGAGCTTTAAAAAAAATGAGCTTAAAATGACAAGATGGCTTCCAACCTGCCTTCATGAAATGAAAAAATGAGCTTAAAACAGGTCTTTTTGTAGGTGGCCTCGTGGCGTGAGCACCCTGTGAGGGGACTGTGGGTGTGTCAGAGCGAAGGGGTGGCATGAGGAGGGCCAGGCTGGAGAGTGCTGCTGCCCACAGCCAGTGCCGTTCAGAGGTTCTGCAGCTACGAGGTGCTGGATGGAGGTGGCCCGGGAAGACTCGTGACGCTGTGTGTGTGGGATCTGCCAGAATAAGGATTGCATGTGGCATGGTGGCCAGGAGAGAGTGGTCAGGGCTGGAGGGCCTTTTTGTAGGTGGCTAGAGAGTAAATGAAGCATTGCAGGCTCCTTGGTCTCTTTCCATATCCTTCACTCATCCGTGGTAGCAGGAAAGCAGGAAAGCAGACCTAAGATGACATAGAACCAAATATGGGAGTGTGTGTGGGGGTGTGAGTGTGGGTGTGTATGTGGGTGTGTGCTAATGAGTTTGGAAGTGCAGAAGCAGGTGTTGGGCTGTGCGGGGCCTGAAGCATCATGGTATCTGGGGAAGTGAAAGGAAGGTCACTTGGGAACCTATGGCTTCTGCGGGTGGGGGACCTGAGCCAGTCAGGTAAAGCCCCTTCTCTGGCATGTTGAGGGTGGCAGAGGAATGCTCACTGGTGCTTCTTGAAGGACAGGAGTAACTTGCACTCCTGGTCATGCCCAGTGCCTGGGGGAGAAGTCACTATGTCCTGCAAGGCCCAGAGAAGCCGACCCAGAGGCCTGAGTCACTTGGAGCAGGTTTGGCAAGCCAGGACGTAGGTGACCCCAGACCCGAGCTTCACCCACGGGACTCAGACCAAAGCACTGTTGTTGGAAGTCAGAAGTGGCTGTGTCGTGGTACATGGGGCTCAGTCACGGGGGCCGCAGACGTGGCCCTGATCTTGGTGTATGCCTCCTCCCGCTTCCCCACTCCTTTCTCCTGTGTGGCTTATGTGGCCTGTGTGGTCTGGTGTCTGAGCCCAGTCCTGGGCCGCAGTCTGGCTCACAGGCCCCGGGCACCCCAGCCTTCCTAATTTCTCAGTGCGGCAGTGTGACTCCTCACCTGCACCCGAGCCTTGGCACAGCTGGAGGAAGTTCCCCAGGACTACAGATCTGCCCCATGGCTCATTTACTCTTAATCACTGACCTCAGAAATATAGCTCCTCACTCACCTTATACTTCCTCCAAACCCCTTTCACCAGCCCCCATTCTACCCTGCAGAGGTGATGTCGTTCCCTGCTCCGTCTCAGAATCCACCTGTCCTTCTCACTGCCCTCCCTGTGACATGGGTGACATGCTCTGCCTTTCCCTCCTGGCCACCTTCAGCATCTGACCGCTTCTTGCTTCCTGTCCTTTGTCATAGTCAGATTCTCCACTCAGCTGCTTCCTTCCCTAGGTTTAATATGCTTCTCTCTCTCCGTGCTCCCTCCTCCACCGCCCACGTTGCCAATGTAATATTGTACCCTGAAGGCCGTGTCTTATATCTACACTGTGCACACTGGTGGCCACTAACCACCTGTGGCTGTGGAACCCTCAAGCTGTGACTAGGAGTGGAGTTTCATATTTTATTTTAGTTGACTTAACAGTAGCTCTGCGAGGTTCAGTGATTCACACCTGTAATCCCAGCAACTCGGGAGGCTGAGGCAGGAGGGTCACAAATTCAAGGCCAGCCTTAAAACTTAGCAAGGGCCTAAGCAACTTAGTGAAACCCGGTCTCAAAATAGAAAAGGGCTGGGGATGTGGCTTAGACACTTGAGCGTGGTGTGACTCACAGGACTTTCATGTCTAAATGGGCCTTCCCCCAGGTGTTTTTTGTGAAGATTGGGACTATACTGAAGGAGACGTGGTCCCCCCTTTTAGAGATTGGAAAGAGGCTGGGCAAGGGCAGCAGGGCTGGAGTGTGGCTCCACTGTGGAGCACTTTCCCCGCATGCATGAGGTCCTGGGTTCCATCCCCAGCCCCACCAATACCCGCACTCCCAAATAATTAACATTTAAATAAAAGTATTTTGGCAGAGGAGGAGTCATCATCAAAATGGAAGGACAGGTGTACTTGGCACCAGGGCACTGGTGACAACTGCGTGATGACCAGCAGGCTGTGTGGACAGGGCCATGGGATGTGGACCCGTGGGATTGCAGACCTGAGTGCTCTCATTTCTTCCCAAAGCCATGTGAGGGGTCGTATCAGAGCAGCAAGACTCTCATCTCCAGTCCCCTTACCCATCTGGCTAGCTGGTCAGTGCATGGGAGATGTGCAGGAGGTGGACTATACAGGGGGCACCTGAGCTGTCTCCAGTACCTGTGCCAGGGGGGGGGACTGAGGAGTCTGTGTGGAAGGAGAGGTTTAAGTAGGGGTGTGAGCTCCCTTGGTAGGTGGCATAGGCCTCCCCTGTTCATATATATATATATATTAGTTATAGGTGGACACAATAATTTTTATGTGGTGCTGAGGATTGAACCCAGTGCCTCACGCATGCTAGGCGAGCCACGACCCCAGCCTCTCCTGTTCATCTTTTAAGACTTCACCCGAGCCTATGCTGTGATGTATGCTTGTAATCCTAGTGACTTGGAAGGATGAGGCAGGAGGATCACAAGTTTAAGGACAGCCTCAGCAACTTAGTGAGACCATCTCTCTCAATACAAAAAAGGGTTGAGGATGCAGCTCAGTGGTAAAGCACCCTGGTTCAGTCCCTAGGACCCCCCAGCACCAAAAAAAAAAAAAAAGATTTTGCCTAAAGCATCTGCTCAGGCCGACAGAGGAAAATAGGAACTAGAACAGGGGTCTCTCCCCAACAGTCTCCTGCTGGTTCTGATTTTTATTGGCATCCTCTTCTGTACCTCCATTTCTTGATTTGATTTTTAGACAAAAGGCGAGCGTTAGGTCCTCTTGTGACTTCCTCCTTCAATGTCACTTAGGCTACTACTTGGGGGCTACCTTGCAGGCCAAGTCCTCAACACCCCCTTCCTTGCACTGCTGCTGGAAGCACTGTCCACTGATCCCACTTTTCCCCCATTTCCTTCCCCCTCCTTCCCGTACCCTTTTGGGGACAGGAGCATCTGTTCTGTAACTGTGGTCAAGTCTCCTTTTGTCCGTCTGGGTCTGCAAAGGTGAAGGGACAGTGGCAACCTGCAGTACTGGGGTGGTGGGGTCATGGTGGAGTCCCTGGTCTGCTGTGGTCCGTTTCCTTCTCAGGCTTCCTTGCTCCTGGAATCCCCCACCCCTGAAACTTATTTTTTCCACCAAACTCCTGACCATTCCAGTTATTTCCTCGAGACCCCTTTCTTCCACTTTTTGCCTCTTTCAGCTGCAGGTTTGATTTGTGGGTAAGGAGTGGCCCTCGCCCCTCTGCAGCCCTGTCCCCCCCCAGCTTCTCCAGCGCCCTCCGTCCCTCCCTGTGCCTGGCCAGGTCACCACTGTCTTCGTTGACCCGGGTGCTGCCTTCCTCCCATGGCGTCCAGTGCCTGCCTGTCTTCTTATTGGATTAGGCTCTTAGCAGAGCAAGTGATTTTGAGGATTTTGCTTTCAAAATCCTGACACCCTGGGGCTTGTCAAGTGCAGGTGGCTTTCCCCTTATCATGTGCCTTGTCTCCTGCCTGTGGCATGTGCTGTGTTCAGTGGTCCTCTTGGGGTTTGAAGGTTTAAGTCTCTTAACACATGGTTTTAAGAGTGTTAAGTGTTAAGTGTTAACCTCTGGAGGTCACAGCCTGTGTGGAGTGGGGATTGGAGTAATTTCCTAGCTTTGGTTCACCTGATAAGGTATTAGAGTAGGGGAAGAGGGACCTTTCAGATGAGAGGAAGTTCATGACCTTGAGATGGAGAACCACCCTGGATTGTCCCTGTGAGCCCATTGCAATCTCAGGGTCCTGAAGAGTCAGAGACAGAGCTAGGAGGGTGTCAGGAAGATGAGGTGGTGCTGTGCTGCTTCCTGGAGAGGAAGGAGCAGCCAGGAGGCCGGGAGGCCAGGTCTATGGGGAGGTCATGAAGCCAGTTCTCCCTGGAAGGAGCAGAGCCTGTTGACCCCTGGCATTAGCCCTGTGAGACCCATTTTGGAGTATTACTCTATGGAACTGTAATAGAAGCCACAATATATTTGCTTTGCTTTATTTATTTTTTTCCTTTAGTGGTGCTGGGGATGGAACCCAGGGTTTCAGGCATTCTGGGCGAGCCCTCTACCACTGAGCCTTGCCCAGCCCACATATGCATTATTTTTAGCCACTAAATTTGTGGTAGTTTTTTATAGCAACCAGGGGAAACTGGGAGGGTTGGAGAGACCTTGGGCACAGGCTCTCACCCTAGCCTTCCCATGCCCTGGGGTGGCTGGGTATCAGCAGGGAGCCTGCCTGGGTGGGTGCCTCCAAGGCATTTCCAGTTCATGCATTCCTTGTACTTGAGAGTCTGGAACTTAAATCACCATGTTTGTGTGACTCACTACCTGTCCTTGGAGGAATAAATAAATGTGTATTTAGGACCTGCAGGTTCAGGCTCTGAGCCAACAGTTTATCATTTATAACACAGTGGCCTTTGATATTGGCCTTTTTTTTAATCCTTGTTTTACTGATGAGGAGACTGTGGTTCAGAAAGGTTAGGCAGTTATTTAAGGCCAGGAATGAGTGGCAGCAACCAATTAGAACCCAGATCAGTCTTGCAAACTGCTGTATAAAAGAAAAAGAAAAGAAAGATCAAAATACTGTATAAAACAAAAGATTTAAAAATAGATTGATTTGTGTGTGTGTATGTGCGTGTGCATGTGTGTTTGCGATAATAGGGATGGAACCAGGGGTGCTCTACCACTAAGCTGTACCCGCCTTTTTTTGGTACTGGGGATTGAACCCGGGGGTGCCTTATCACTGAGCCACATCCCCAGCCCTGTTTTGTATTTTATTTAGAGACAAGGTCTCACTGAGTTGGTTGGCACCTCTCTTGTGCTGAGGCTGGCTTTGATTCTCTTGCCTCAGTCTCCTGAACCGCTGGGATTACAGGTGTGCACCACTGCGCCTGGCCCCAGTCTTTTTAATTTTTTTTTTTTTGAGACAGGATCTTTCCAGGTTGCTGAGGCTGACCTTGAACTTGTGATCCTGTTATCTCGACCTCTGGAGTCCATGATATTCAGGTGTGTAGTACTGTGCTTGACTCATTGTATTTTTAGCTAAAAGCATAAAAGTTGGGCATATTAACAAGCTGTAATTCCCAGAACAGGATATGGCTTCATTGCCTGTGGTAAAGAGTTTGGCTCTAGGGTTGGAGAGACCTAGGTTAATGGGCCAGTTTTTCCCTTCTCCTGAGTGTGGAGAATCTGAAATGCTTGGAACTAGAAGTGTTTTAGACTTAGGATTTTTAAAATTTTGAATATCCTGGGGCTGAGACCCAAGTGTAAACACAAAATTCATTTACATTTGATACATCCTTGTATACATAACTCAAGGTTGTTTTGTACAGTAACTTATTTTTTTTTCTTTTGAGATGGGGCCTCTGTCTTGCCCAAGCTGGTTTTGAACTTGTGGGCTCAAGCAATACTCCTGCCCCATCCTTCCACATAGTTGGAACTTCAACTGTATGCCACCAGGCCTGGATTTTTAGAATTTTATTCTGCCACCTTATTGTTATTTTATTGTACTGGGATTGAACTCAGGGCACTTCACCACTGAGCCACACCCCATCCTGTTTTAGTTTTTGAGACAGGGTCCTGCTGAATTGCTAGACCCTTGATATGTTGCTGAGGCTTCCTTGAACTTGCAATCCTCCTAACTCAGCCTCCCAAGCCTCTGGGATTACAGGTGTGCACCACCGTGCCTGGCTGGGATTTTCCATTTGTTGCATGGAGTTAGAGACCATCAGGGTTTGGAGTTTGGATGTTTAGAGTACAGATGCTCAACCTGTTCTTGTCTTCCCCAGTCCACTCCCCCCTCCCCGTGCCTCAGTTTGATCTTTTGTAAAGCAGGGGCATGGCAAGGGTACCTAGTGGGCGTGAAGCTCACAGAGGATGAAGAATCCAAATGACAGGAACTCTGCAGCCCATAGGGGAGTGGGGAGCCTCGGGCAAATTCCCATCTTGGGTGACAAGACGCTCTATATAGGACACTGCATAGGATCTGACGAGAGCAAGAGCTTAGGTCAGCAGTGGCCACAGAGAAACCAGAGCCACCAGAAGTGGTATTGGACCCTCATAAATACACCTCAGGTTGCTGAGCCTTGAGTGACAGGGCTGCTGCAGGCCCTAAGTATGGTACCAGGACCAAGGTCCATCAGATGTGAGATTCACTTTTCATGCCACTAAGAGAAATAAGGCCAGGGAGGGAGGAGTTCTTACTACAGATAGGGCTGTTTATTTTTTCTTCTTTTTTTTTTCTGAGGCAGAGTCTGCACTGCCACAGGTCCTCAGCACCATGTCACCACATGGCTATCATGTCAAGGCCATGGGAACCCTTTGTCTGTCTCTACAGGTTGGTCACGCTTTGACCAGGAGAGAGCAGAAGTACCCTGATCCTCCTGGGTGTCAGGGACCTCTCCCCATGCCTGGAGAAGGGACAGCAGAGTTAGGGGCATCGGATTCTCCTCCACAAAACTCCCAACGGGGCCTCCCTTCCCTTGCACCGTCCAGGACCCTGGTTGCTGGCTGGTGGGGGGGGTAACTCGATCCGGGTCAGCTGGTGCAGTATGAGGTAGTGTCTAACTGAGCCTCATGGTATTTTATGAAGCCTGAAATGTGATCGGTACTGTTGTCACACTTTAACGCCCCCAACAATCCCCTTGCAAATGAGTAAAACAGAGCCTCCCCAAATGCCTTCCCCCCAACATCAAGGAAAATCCATGGAACCCAGCCGGGGCTGAGCCATGCGACCCCTGAGGTGTTTATCCAGTGCACTGGGGAATGTGCTGTTGGTCTTGTGTTCTCTGCAGCCTGTCTGTAAAGTCAGTGCTCTTCTAAAACGCAAACTCACCAGCACGTGGGGCCTGCTGGGCCTAAGGTCCTTCTAGTTACATGAAGGCTTTGAGTCAGAGATCTCCAATCAGATGCCAATGGGCCAGGTAACAGGTGAATGAAGCCCAGCAGAGATTGTGGGGACCTGAAAGTAGATGCCCCACAGCTCAGCTCCAAAGGACAGTGTGGATACAGGGATGTGGGAGAGAGGTGAACAGACAGAGCTCCCCAAAGCTGACCTGTTGCCCATCATTCCAAAGACATGTTTTGCAACCCAGGGCAGGCTAAATGAGGAGTTCTCTGCTTCTCCCTGACTGAACTTACCACCAGGGTAAGTATCCCTCTAGAGTTGCGCTGCCCATAGAATTTTCTTTGATGGTAGAAATGAATGTGTGCAGAATCCAGTACAGAACTCCCTGGGTACAGATGGCCACTGAGCACTCGAAGAGGACTAAGGAAAGACAGAAGGCCATGGGGCCCGTGGGTGGTGGAAACAGCAGGCCTGGGACACAGTGTTCAGTCGGTGATGGCCATAGACTTTGGGACCCAGAGGTGGCCTCCAGAAGCTGACACTGGGAAAACACAGGGTTCTTGGAGGCAAAAGCTGGAGAGCATCCAAGCAGAGGGGACAGTGAGGCAAAGGCCTCCACCTGATCATGGCCAGGGCTGCCATTTTTCCTGGAGGATGGGAGGCTGGCGTGGCTAGGTTTGCATCTACAGCCCCCAGTGTCACACACTTCACCCGCAGTCCCCTCTTCTTTGCAAAACTGTCCCAATTTGGGAGATAAATTTTCTTCTCGAACTTCCTCAGGGCCAACCAGCTGCCTAATAGGAAACCAGAGAGAGAGAGAGGAGACCCCATAACAGCACCTCTGAACCCCAGTGGCAAAGCCCAGCCTCAGGCTCCAACATGGGCTCCCAGCCCAGCTCACCCACCCCTGTGGCTAGAGGAGCCGGCTCTGCAAGCTGCCATCACATTCACCAGGCCTGTTTCTTCTTTCTGTTCTCCAAATTCCCCGTAGGATTGTGACCAGATCCACATTGATGACATCTAATCAGATGACAATGGACAAGATTTAAGGTGGGAATCTGGGGAGTCAGAAATGTCTATCAGTTGATTCTCAGGAGGGGAGGTCTAGTCACGTGGGCCAGAGGCGCCCGTCACTAGCCAGATCTGGAACCTGAGCCCCTCTGAACTCGAAGCACAACCCTGCCCCCCTCTGTAGCATCTTCTGTCACTTCTTCTGTAACCTCTGACCTCAGGCTCTGCTGTGTCGCTCACTCTCCATCCCAGTTTACTGGAGTTGTGGGTGCATACCATAAAAACTCATCCCTGCCCCCCCCCCATCATTGCCATCAAGAGTTTGATCCACGTCCCTTTGGAGACTTCATGACATTCATTAGCTGGCATGTATTTTTAATACAAAAAAATTGATGCAGTCAATACTCAAGAAACACTTCCTGAACAAATAAGTGGTGAGTCTGGTTTTCAGGGGAAAACACTCCTAAAACAGTTTCTGGAAATCTGGTAACTGGCTGCCTGATTAAAACGAGGCAGCTTTCAGAGTAGTGAGATAGAAATGTCCCAAGCCTGCCCCTAGGGAGACGTGACCAAAACAGAACCACAGCTCCTCTGTGCCAACCCCAAATCATCACAGCTCAGCACCTCCAAGCCATCCTGGATACGGTGAGCAGGTTCTGGTTACGGGTGTGGGCGTCTCCCCATCCACACTTGAACTAGAACGGAGTCCCTGCCGGGCGCTTTGCCAGTCTCTCCAAAGCCCAGCACAATAAGAAGTAATCTGATCAGCCATCCAGAACATCCATCTGTCCCCAGGCTGGTGAGGAGCAATGCCATCCCGCAGGCTGATTCCTGGTGTAAATAAGGCCAGATCAGAGTTAATGGGTCATTTCTGTGAAGTCATCTCTGGGAGCCAGGCTCCCTCTCAAGGCAGCGAGACACCAGGGTCCAGGGTTAGTGCTTCCCCTGCAGCTGCTGGGAGCCCACCTCGGGCTGCGCTGTCTGGTATCTTGTGCCAGGAATCCATCATCTGAGGGTGTTTCCCCAAGTCAAATTCCCCATTTAGTCATTCAGGAAATATTCACTATATTGAGCCTACTATAGGCTCAGCACCAAGCATCAAATGTCTTTTTTTTTTTTTTTTTGGTGGGTACAGGGGTTTGGTTGTCAGTAAGACTCAACCTCAGGGCCCTTGTTCAGTGCCTGCCCTGCTTTCAATGCTTCCTGTGGGTTAACCCCTGGCATCTTTGAGGCAGCCCTAAGAGACTCTCCTGTCACCCCCTGTCATAGTTGAGGAACTTGAGGCACAGAGAGATCAAGACACCTGCCCAAGCTCACATAGCTGGTGAAAGGTAGGATCCAAACCCGAGCAGCCCAGCTCCAGAGCGCCACTCTTACTGACCCCTCAGTCCCCCTGGGCACCCCATCCTCCTTAAGGGGACTCTATCTCTGGACATCTACCCTGAACCTGAATGGGGACCCTATAACACCTCCGTTGTCAGAGATCCTGTGTTAATCAGCTATTCATCATCATGGAAAATTACCTGAGATAAAAATTATGAGAAGGAGGGGTTTCAGATGTTTTAGCTCATGGGTCACTTAGCCCTGTGGCTTTGGACCTGGGGCAGAAGTCCACATCACAGTGGAGCATGTGGCAGAGGAGGCTGCTCACCTCATGGAGGTGGGGAAGCAGAGAGACAGGAAGGGCTTGGCGTCCCAATGTTCCCTTCAAGGGCACCCCCAATGACCTAACATCTTTCTACTAGGTCCTGCTTCTTCAAGTCTCCACCCTCTGCCCCAATAACACCAACTGGATGGCAGGCAAGTCTTTAACATGTGGCCTTTGAGGGACATCCCAGATTCAAACTATAGCACACCCCCAACTGAAGCCCTTTGCATGACTCAGATTGGATTGATTCAGGGCTATTCTTCTTGCTCAATTTATCTTTTTTTTATCTTGTTTTGTTTTTTTATTGGTTCTTTTAGCTATACATGACAGTAGAATTCATTTTGATGTAATTGTAAAAGCATGGAATATCTTCTTCTATTTAGGACCCTGTTCTTCCTGCTCTTATGGATGTACATGATTGTAGGATTCAATATGATGTATTCATAGAAGTACATAGGAAAATTGATTTGGATTCAAAACAATTCTTTCCCTTTCCTATCCCCCCTCCCTTCCTTTCATTCTCCTTTGTCTAATCTATTCTTCCCCTCTCCCGGCTTATTGCAGTTTAACTTTCACATATCAGTGAAAACATTCAACCTTTGTTTTGGGGGACTGGCTTTTTTCACTTAGCATGATAGTCTCCAGGTCCACCCATTTACTGGCAAATGTCATAAAGTCCTTTTCTTTATGGCTGAGAAATACTCCATTGTGTATATATACCATAAGTTCTTTATCCATTCATCTGTTGAAGGGCACTTAGGTTCGTTCCATAGCTTAGCTATTGTATATTGAGCTGCCATAAACATGGATGTCGCTGCATCACTGTAGTATGCTGATTTTAAGTCCTTTGGGTATATGCTGAGAAGTGGGAAAACTGGGTCAAATGAAGTATCCTTTAAACCAAGTAATTCTCCAAGCATTTGGAAGGTTTAATTAAGCACTGATTTTTGGATCCATCTATGGAGCGTCTAATTCAGCAGGTCTGGAGTGAGCCCAGAGTATGAATTTCTAACAATTTCCCAGGTGTTAAGGCTGCTGGGCCATGACACTACATTTTGAGAACCATTGGATTAAAGCAGTATTTTTCAAACTTTAATAGGCACAAACATCCTTGAATATCCTGTTGCAATACAGATTCTGATGCAGTAGGTCTGAGGTAGGACCTTAAGGTATACATTTTTAATATTCTCTGGTTGATGCTGATGCTTCAGTTTCAGGGACCACATTTTGAGTGGTATATTAATCAACTTTTCATCATTATGACAAAATACCTGAGAAAATCAACTTGTAAGGAAGAAGCAAAATATTTCAGTTCATTGTTTCAGAAGTTTCAGACTCTGATTGATTGACTCCAGTGCTCTTAGGTCTACAACAAGACATCACATCATGACTGGAATATGTGGTGGAGGAAACTGTTCAATTCATGACAGCTGACAGGAAAAGAGAAAGAAAAGAGCTTAGATCCCAATAGTCCTTTTGAGGGCAGGTCTCCAGTGACCTAACACCCTTCCACTTCCCCGACCTCCTAGAGGCTCCACCACCTCTCAATAGCCTGCAGACTGGCAATCAAACATTTACTTAGTATATGGGACATTTAAGATCCAAACCATAACAAGTGGCAAAGCTTAAAAGTTCTTGTCTCCTTAGTACGTCTTATTACCTATGCCTACTTCTTATTAAAGTGATGCTGAGCAATTCAGAGAAGCCAGCACTGAACCCATTACATCCATGCAGGAAGCCAAGGGCTGTTATGGAGTGACCATTTGGTAGCATTGCCCTCTGGGTGATGGGAGGAGAAGGTGGAGATTGTGAGATAGAGAACCGAGATGGGATGGCAGGAATGGTCTGTGGTCAGAGGAAGCTCCGGCATACCTTCGCATGAGACTGAGGCAGAATGTCCTGTACTGGCACCAGGCTGCTTAGAAAAGAAAGAAAACGATTCTAAAATTGGCCTTTCTTCTCTTGGGAAAGTCAGATTCTTTCCTAAGGGCCACAAGTCTGAGGAAGATTGGGGGAGGGGGAGGGGGCAAGTCCTTTCATGCACCATTACCTTCTATGATGGATGACTTTTCCCCTGGGGCTTTGTTCAGAGCCAGCGCTCTGAGTCCTGGCCCAGGCCCAAGCTGTCTGGGAGCCTTGAAAGCACATCTGATAGGGAGGGCATCGGGAACCAGCCCCTGGGTTGGGTTCCCAGCACCAGCTCTGGAGATCTAATTATAACATTCTCTTGCTATCAGGTTGTACATAAACTTCTCAAAACACTTCATTCATTTGTTCATTTCTCTCATCAACAAATATTTATTGGGTATGTGCAATGTGCACAGCATTGCATTTTGCCCCTCAGGAAGGAGACAAGAACCGAAAAGCTACATTGGTCATTTAACTGCAGGAAAGAGGCAACTGACTGCCTGGCACTTCCAAAGCCCATGTGCTCTTTCCCCACCTCTTTCTAAGTAGGAAGGCCCCAGGGAAGTGCCTTTCCCAACTTACAGAGGAGCATCCAAGGTCACAGGACACAAATAGTGAACCCCAGAACCAGTACTGCAATTCAGGGCTCATCCTGTCAAAGGACAAGCAGGGATCTATCACCATCTCTCAGACCCCAACAAGAGCAGACAGGTTCAGAAGAGGCATTGAAGAACTGAAGTGAGATGAAGTAAGAGCCATGTGCTGGTGAGGGCCAGCAGACCTCAACTAATCCGCTGGGACAGCTCTGAGGACTATTGTATTCAGGTGGTTCTCACCACGTAGTGCACAAGGTAGGGAGATGTGACCCCAACCAGAGAACCAGAGAGAGGACTTGGAGTTTGTATCCAGCTCAATGGACCTCTGTTATTCTGATGACAGGTAGAAAAAACACAATATCAGGGGGTCCTCCAAACAGAGTAGCTGTTTCTTCCTGGCAGAAACCTAATCCAGAAGTGTGGCTTCTGACAAAAGGCCCATGTTAGTACGGAAGCTTGTTGAAAAAGCCTGCAGTGTAGACTTGACAGTCAGGTAGACCAGAACAGGTGTTCTCCCCACATCTGGGCTGATCCTGGAGGGCTGAGAGTCATCATGGGCTTTTGAAAACAACTCACCTGACTTCATCTTCTTATCTTCTGAGATTCTGACAGAAGTCTGAGTTAGGGCCCAGACTAA